ATAGTATGCAGTATGTGTAGCATATAACACTGGAAACACTGAAAATGATCTTCATATAAATAGCATAAGTTTCTTAGAAATATCTGACTGTAACTACAGTTTAAAACCCACTTTGTCTTTCCTATTATGCTGCTGGATATATTCCCATTATATAATATTCCCATTATACCTATGGTATAATTTCAGCAGCATCTTTGCAAGCCTCCTTCTTCCTGACCTGCTTCCTCCTCGAGACATGTCAGCTCCTGGCATCGCCAGAGGCACTGCTGTTCCTTGTCCCACAGGAGGCACCAAATCCAGGGCTCTCTCAGAAACTTGTCATGGGAAGTGCAAGGTGCCTCCAGAAAAGGCTGCTGCATCCCCTCCCTTCCCAAGGAAATAACACCAAAGCTTTCCAGAGATGGTGGCACTGGCAGGATGAGGCCAGTCTGTGTGCTCACTGGGACAGTCTCTTTAGTGACTTCAGGTGACCACAGCAGTATCTATGTGCTGAGTATGCAGGGAGATGAAGTCAGCAACTCTCCAGGTTTTTTTGGTGGACAGTTGATTTGAGGGCTTCATGATTCTCAGAAACAGAATTTGGGAGCACAGCCATTGCACAGAAAGAAGGGTGGGACAAAAAGGCACTGGAGGATATTTCTGTGGTGTTTTCCAGCCCCAATATGATTATTTTTTTATGGAGCCATTTCCTTTTACAAAAGAAGCTGAATTTATTCACTAATCCATGTGTTCCTATCCATGTGTTTTGTGAACAGGAGTGTTTCATATCCATCATGCAAACCCTGTTCACTTATTTAGAAGATGGACTAAGAGTGCACAGCAGGTTGTCACTGTGGCTGTTGACCAGCACGTGAGGCTGACACGCACTTCATTGTTGGGGTTTACATCTGGTCTTTCTCCCCAGTGACTGTGTAAGTCCCTTGTAGTGAACCTCTACAGGGTTTCCAGGCTCCTGCTCTTGGCTACTTTGTCCAGCTGTGGTCCCTTCTTCCTCATTGCTCCCTGTTTTTTTTCCAAAAAAGCTTCTCTTCCCCTGTTCTCTGTACTGGTTTCCAGTCACCACCTAGTTCATTCTCACTCTCAGGTCTGCTTTTATGTCTCCTAAGATTAAGTTGTTGGTGATGGTACTGGTCAAACTTTAGGAGCAATTTCATTTTTGTGACATTTTGCACATTTCTCAGCCTTTTGAGAAGTGAGATTCTGAATTGAAATTGTGAATTCTCATCAGAAGGCTCAGACTTTTGATAAAGATCCCTCTCTTCCCACCTTTCTCTCCAACCAGCAGACATGACCTCCTGCTTTAAAACACTGAGAAACTTTCCAGATCAAAACATCATCAGAAATGATATCTCCACAAAACACTTCTGCTCCAACAAACCATATAGCTGGACTAAAATGTGCTTCATGGGAGTTTTTTCAGCAAGCTCTATTAGTAAGAGTGCTCGAAGAGTACTAAATGAGGACAGAATCTCCACAAATATTTAGATACTAAAAATGAAAATGCCTCTGTTGAGCATGTGTGAACTCTGATTTTTCTTTTTGTGTGTATAAATGTAATACAAACAAATATAAAATATAACTTTTCCAAATTTGGTGGAAAGCTCTCACATTTCAGAGCAGAAGAATTGATGAAAGCAAAGGACACTGGAATTTTTCATCCAGGGCAAAACATTTTCCTCTAACCTCATCTCAGAAATGAATAAAGTATTTTGATGGCATTCCTTCTCCCTTAAATAATTAAATCAGTACGAGGCAGACACAATGAAAAACAAACCAACCCAAAAGGTCCAAGAGAGTAAAAATTGGCAAAGATCTCAGGATCTGAAAATAGAAGGAAGTGCTGAGCAACTTTTAAAATAGTTGTTATCAGCTTTGCCTCTAAAATTTGCAGTGTGCTGCTGCCTGATCAGTAGGTTGTTCCCAAATGCAGCTCACATGTGTTTCTTGGGAAGATGTTCTCAGTCCCTCTTACTGAGCTATTTTAAAGCAATTGAAAGCTTCCTACCTACCTCTGTACCATAGGATATCTGCTCCCATCCCCCGGTTGAGGGGATCCCTGCTTGCCCTGGTGCAGCAGCCAGGAGGGCACAGGGTGCTGCTCTGTGTGGGACAGCAGTGTCCAGCATATCCCCTGCCTTACTAATCAGTCCCCAGTGACAGGAAGGGCTCCTCACTTCTTCACTCACTCAAATTCTCCTACCAAAGAAGGGTATTGTGCAGGATGGAGCAATGCCTGCTTAGACTTGTAGAGGAGACCCACTACTGTGTTGCCATGGGTTGGGTACCACTGTTGGGTGCAATGGGACAGTGGTGGGGCTGGTGTGCCCTTTCAGATGTTTTCCAAGGTCCTGGTAGCTCATGCCATTGGTCCTTGCTTCTGAAGTGCCAGATATTTGGCATCAACTATATATGGCATGAGCCAGCGTAAAGGCAGAAACACAAAGCCTGGTGGATGGAATCTCAAAGGAATCTTATTGCTTTTGGAAGGAGTATTTGAGAACCCTCAGTAACAAACACTACTCCCTACATAAAATCACAGTCCTGTTGCCGGGCTGTGCATTAACACAACTTTCCTGTTCTTGGTCATTATCACTTGGCATGGTGTGTGTTTTCTTCCATTTTATGGGAATTTGATGTATTTCACCAGTGGGTAGTAAAAAAAAAAATCATCACTGAGAATGTCATGATTAATTTTTTTTCCTCTTGAAGAACTATGAAATTATTCTGAAATATATGACATGTGTATAATAACAGCCTAGTGCTCTGTTTTTAAAAAATGTGCTAGAGGCGTTGTGCAGTTTCCCAGAGGCTTAATGAGGGAGCCCTACTGTGTTGGAAATTTTTCAACAATAAAAATTGACCTCTTACATGCTTATGTAAAATGAGGGTTGACAATCACACAAATATGTCCAAAGTCAGATACAGACGTTGTGAAATATCACTTCTTTCCCACAGAGAAACTGGTCACCTGTTCACAGTAGGCTTTTGCATTATATTCTATCCTGTGAGGAATAAGATGCTTCCCCACAGGGAAACAAAATGGCAGCAAAGTACTGGCCCGGTGCCCTTCTATCAGTGCTTTTCACTGACTTTTTTGCCAAGTCTTCAAAAATAACACATAGGCATACTTTTCAACATATGTTTTGCCTCTTTGTTGGTTTAAAGGCATAAAGGGAAGAAAAGGTCATGCATTATTCACCATTTCATCATCAAATGCAGGAAAAATTCATTGTTTGCTTTTTTGATTTTCTTTTACACTCCCTAATACATCTTTTATTTTCTAAAAAAATCTAGTGTCTTTTGCTATTCTTTTGAGATGTATCAGAAGTGGCCCTCTTCTTAAAAATTGAGCATATGGCTCTGAACCTGCATCTGAATTCAGGGAAGTGTCTATTGCAAAACACTGAAATTTGGAATCATGGGAGCAGAAAAGTTGGATTCAGGATTTATTCAGCGTACTATTGAATAATCAAAGAAAAGAAAAGAATTAAAGAGTTGAAGAATAAATTAAACATGGTAAATATTGCTCCTCTGCTCAAAATAAATTAAGCCACTGTCAACATTTTTATGTTTTTTAAGTATTAAACACTAAGTTTAAGCCAAATGTGTACCACAGAGGAAACATTAAATCATTATTAGGATTTAAAAAACTCAACTGTTTCTCTGCTGAATGTGTATCACCAATGAATGTCTTATCAGTCTCCTCACAGTACTTTCTTTCAGTGCCCTGGCCAGTCACTGGCTCATGATGTTCCCACCAGGAGAGAGCAATATAGGGAGGTAGAATGTGATTTAGGGAGAGATCAGAGTTTATCAGCAATCTCTGTCAAGCACCAATCTCTCTGAGTTAAGGGGGTAGAAAGGACTGAAGTATGAAAGCAGAATGAGCATGGTAGCTGAGGCCTTGATGCATCTTCAGTGTATGAGGCTGCAAATCATAAAACTTCATCAGGGAGACCTCCTTGCGGGTTCTTTGCCCTTTGTAATGCAATTAAAAAACAGAAAAAAACACTTATCTGATGGTAGGCCATAGATTTGCAGTTTATCCATTTATTACATTTTATTATTTGATTAAATATGAGTAAAGATTGTGGAAAAGGATGATGATAGACAGACAAAGGTGAAGAGACATTTACTTCATTAAGCTAATGAATTCTTTTTTTGTTGGTAAAATTTCCTAGTTCTGATTCAGAGGTATGCAACCTAGTGTTACAAAAAATGGACAGGAGATTATTATGAAGCAAAGAAAGTTGCACACTGCAGTAGGATTAAAGAAGTCATTCTGGGCATAGAGGAGATTGCATTTATATAATAGAAAAAACCTAAAGCTTTCACTTAATGATTTAAGTCTTTCTAAGACAGAGCTGGTGAAGCTGATGTTAAGTATAGAAAGATACAATTTGAAACATACCGAAGTAAAAATATGAGAATTAGTGTGTATGAGAATTAAAGAAATATTGCAAGAATTGTCAATTCTAACAGAGAAAATTCCAGTGTTACTTGTAGTTGCTATTTGATGTTTTCTGCTACTACCTGAGAATCCCTTAAAGATACGTTCCTGAGCTATTTAAATACACACAATCTGGAATGGCTCAGATGCCCATATGACTTCAGTGTGTAATACTATAATATGCTTGATAACCATAACTTAGCACTCTATTTAGGTCCAGAAAGAACAGTACCATAATCCTGGTTATTTCATTGCATTTACTATATTCTAATGTCTTGAAATTGCTTACAAGCCATATATTCCAATGCATTATTTTACTAACTCATTGTCAATTTAGTGTACAGCATAGTTTTGTGCTTCTGGCAAAGGCAACTTCCCAAGAACCAATTTAAAGTAACAGAACTGCCATAAATATTGGGGAAATTTAAATGGATTCACTGGACCATATGATGGGATCTCATTCAAGAGCAAGAGCCTGCTCACAGAACATGTATAGGATCTAAAATACTGCTTATAAATATTTACACATATTTTATTTCTCTCATTTCAGTGACTATTTCAACAAGTACCTTCTTTGATGGCTTGCTGGTGACTGGGCTCTACACATCAACCAGTGTTCAGGCTTCCCAGAGTGTTGGTGGTTCCAGTGCTTTTGGATTTGGTAAGTCCAGTGTAATTTACATTCTGCACCCCAAAGTAATGAATACTTGCTTGTACAGAGGACATCAATAGCAACACAATTACTGAAACAGGTTAATTTAGACTGAGTAATCAATAATACATGGAAGTCAGTGGGAGTCAATGAGATAAGGCAGTGGTGGCTTTTAGACAGCTTTTATTGCTTCCTGCACTTTATCTTTGCTCAGCCCTGTTACTAGTATGCTGGATTATATAAATTTCAAGAGAGAAAACCCTCAGCAGCTAAATTGTTCTAAATAACCATTTCTAAATGGTGTGACATTTTGTATAAACTACAGCATTTAGCCCAAAGCCTCTAACTGTCCTTGGGCTGAAAAAAATGTTTCCTTTTAGCTTATGTCAACCAACTTTTTCCATTCACTTAATAACATCTTCCTTAAAACCAGAATGCTGATCAAGATATTTTATGCAACCAATTATTTTCCATGTAGGAAAAAAAAAGAATTGTAGTAAAAGGGGTATGACAGGTTTTGTGTAATTATTATGTATTTCAAGTTCTGTTGTAGCATCTAGCAGTAGCAGCTGTGCTAAGGACAACCATTTTTGAAAAATCTCTTCTAAATTTGTGAAAATAATTGACAGCTATACCTTCTGTAGTTTATTATTTGGGGAGCATTTTTTATATCCTTACAAATAATTGTAAGAATTATGTTCCTCCAAATGGAGGGACTCAGTGACTCCTAACAAGCAATCTAGGATGAAAGTACAGTATGGGACACCAGCTGCACTGCACTTGCAGTAGCATGTTTAAACGTTACTTTGTCTGTTAGGGTTAGAATTTAGTACTTTCTTCATAATAACCTCTCATGGTACTTAGTTTTGTTATAATGCATGTGGAACATGAGCGCTCTGGGCATTGCGTGTCATCCAGCAGACATATATCTGCTTTTAAATGAATGAATGCAATGTAAATAGCACATTATTTAAAACTGTATTGAGGAATAATTTGAGAAGGGCTTTGCCTCTGTGAATAACACCACTGATCAACCTTTTGCTCAGCCTTTCAAAGGGAAGAGCATGGCTGGCCCAGGTATTTCATGTCTTATGCAAAAGGCACTGAAAGATTCTCTTTTCTGGAAGAGGTTGTACTGCTGTTTCTTCTTTCCCAATGTAGGCTTTACAAGGTGAATAGAATCTGATGGAGTAAGCGAGACAGAAAGAACTTATCAATGTGAAATTTTTGGGATACTTAAGTTACTGGCAAACAATTATCTTGCCATAAAATAGGAGTTTGTATCACATCACTGGGAAGAGCATGGCAGACTCACTAGGCAAGGTATACAGGTCATGTTTAATGACATAAAATATTTAAGAATGACAATTAAGCAAAATTTTAAGAACCTAAATACATCTATGCATTTACAAAGTATGTTTGTATTTTTTCCTAAATTTGTAACTTCGCTCGTAGAGCAGGGCTCTTACAGTGGATGTTTTACTGAGATACATGTCAAAGTAATGTGATATATGACAGGAAGAAAGTTGTGGCCTTTTTTAACTTGTCAAAGGTCATTCTTTGGCTCTTGATGTATTACATTCAGTCACTGTAAGATAACCAACAACTAAACTGGTGGTACGTGCTTTCTGCAATCCAGAAGAAGCTCCAAACCTGCAGGCTGGAAAAATACAAAAGCCAAAGTGAGGCAAAAGCATTCATGCAGAGTCAAAGCTACTTCATTTTGCTTGTCAATACAACTTCTCAAATATCTTGCCTGGGGAGATCTGATGCTCTGCCTTGAACATGGCTCCATCTGTGTCAGGGAAAAACAGTTGCCATCTCTGACCCTTTTTTTTTTTTTTAACTTTCTGTGGGTAAGCTGTAGGGTCAGTTGTGTTACAGCTGTTAGTTATGAAATATTTTAAATAAAAGTCTCATTTTGTTTTTTTTCTTTGCTACCTCCTAAGCTTGTATATATATATTGAAAAAAACCCCCGTCTGAATGTTTCATAACAGATGATGCTCATGTGCAGTGTCTTTGAAGTCACAGGAAAAAGTAAACAGTGAAGGAAAAATGGCAATGGCTTTTAAACTTAATTTTATATGAATGCTCAATCCATGAGGTTCTGATGGCTCCCAGGGCTGAGAACTACATAAAATTTTCCTATCTCTACTTTGCAGTGAGAGATGAGAAGGCTGGCTGATTCCAAAACACATTTAGCATGTAAATGATACTCTTTTTAAAATTATTTGGTAGTTTCAAAAGTTAACAATATTTTAAAATCTGCCATTTGCAGTAGAAAAACAGAGTAGTCTCCACAGTATTTAATATGTTGTTTAGTAAAATAGTAGGTGGGAATGACATTGTTTTGTTTTCTGAAGAAAACATAAAGCACTTTCTCCAGAAACCCTGGATCCATTTGTTGTGTCATCATTTCCAATCAATAATGAAGCTGTTTCTCCTTTCCAGCAAGTGATTGTGATGCTCAAGTTAGATTTACCTTGCTGGAAATTATTCTGGTTTTTTAATGTCAAGGACTAGTCAGGTTCAGAGACCTCGATTCAAAGATTTATGTGGTTTATCACAGATTAGATGGGGGGGTGGCAAAGCTGGGCCTTTAAAACCTGGAGATAGTAGTATTCTGAAATTGGTTTGATAGTGGTTGCTTACAGTGTAGGGAAGAATATTTTTTTCTCCCTTGCAATATTACCATTGAAATGGTCTTGTCTGTCTTACACAGGAGGTCACGCTAGATTATCATAATCTTCCAGACTGCCTGATAATATGAAGTCTCCCCAACATACATATATCTGTCTTCTGTGCTATAAGTTACTGTGTTGTGGCTACAATTATCTTTTAATTACTCAATTTAGGAAGTTACTTGATGGAGACACAATCATTGTCACGTATAACAGTTAACCACGTCAAGAAGCTTTGAAGAAAAAAGAAAATATTTTAATTCTAAGGGTTATGTTCTCTTTCTTTATTAGTATATATTGTGTAGCCAAAGAAATAACTCCTGGTTTCCTCTGTGGGATTAGACTGACATGAAGCTTGCCAAAATTTTTATTTGGGAAACTTTCTAACAGTTTTTTTAGGGAGAAATATGTGCACTTTTGGGCATAAAAGTTACCTAGTAACTTACCTGGTCATAAATATTAATGTTTTGTCCCAGGCTGAACCATTGTCTGGGTTCAGGTTAAGGTAAAACTAAAACTGTAAAGCTAATATTAGAACTGGGGTAAAATGTAAGTGTGTGCTTGAAACTTCACCAACCAAGCTGGGAGGATCCTTTAGCAAAGAAATGATCCCGAATTGTAACTTTTAAGAAGAACATTTCTTTCTTCTTTAGATCCCCCGATACAACAGATAATCTCCATTGCATCTCTCCAGTATAATTTCCACTTTCCTCTCCTGATCAGTGTGGTGTGTACCTGGGAATGTTCCCACGTCCCTCAGCATTGCCTGCTGAAGAGCAATCCCCCTCTTTGTCTGCCCTTTTCACAAGCCACACTGATATCCCTCAGTGTTATTCACACCCTGTCTCTGGAGACATATTTTGGACTCCTGTGGGATCTCTTTATCCATAAGTGTTCTTCCCTTCTTCTGCACTTGTCTCTGAGGCTTGTTGTTGATGTTTGGTCTTTTTTCAACAGCTTGGGTCATCTGGTTGTGCTCTGGGGTTTATCAGACTAACCTCCCATACAGCCAGGATGTCCATACAGTCACATAGGGGCTCTCACTGCTTGATTTGTCCAAATATATGAGAGAAAAGTGGGAGGCAGTAGTACTAAAAAAACATGTTAGAATGCTATAAATGCAGTGGTGGGTTTGATGGGAATGATTGTTCGCAAATGAGACTAAGGATAAATGGTTTGGTGGGTGGTAGGGGTACCACTCTGTACCTTGACCTAAGTACAAAAATACAACTTGGCTTCTCCAAAGCCACGTGCACTGGAGAGAGAGGAGCACGGGATCATTTCTACAATTAAAGGAGAAGATTACAGCGTAATCCCCCAGCAGCGATAAGGAGCGCTGTGAGCTGAGGACCCGAATCTGTCTCATTACACAGGATCATCCTGGCTGACAGGCTGGTTGAGCAGGCAGATATGCTGGGCTGTGCACATCAAAGCCTGCCTTTGACCTGCCACTCACACTGCATCTCCACGCATTCAGGTTCTTCCCAAGGCTTTCTGGCTCCCTGGTAGGTTTTCACATCATGAATACATGACAAATTATATTTAAGTTTGGTGTAATTAGTTTCTTACAAACTACAGTGGAAAACATAAGCCTTTATAGCTAAGCCCCAACCCCCCTAATTTTATGTAAAATCATAATTACTACAGTGATGTTTACCTTTTAATAAACATGGACTTAACAAATAATTTCGTGGTAACATTTGGATATGCATTAATCTTCCAATCTAAATTGGAAAGGTCCTCTCAGAAGTTCATAGGCTCTATTGTGGTGGAGACAGTGGATTCCAAGCTCTTATTACACTGGAAAGTTTTGCCACAAGCCTAATTGGATAACAGAAAGTTTTTGGTTTATTTTCTGTGTAGATTTATACAACTTGTAATTTATGACCTCTTAAAGCAGATGTCTCTGTTCTACTGTGACCTCATAAACTGCTCAAGAAATTTAGGTTTTGTTTAACTCTATGGGCTCTACTTCATAAGAGACTATGAGAGTGATGTTACCTGATAACATTTTAGTGCCTGAACTTGTATCTGCTAGAAAGGAAAAAATAAAAGATGAAGTATCATATTGCAATCTTTCCTCTTTTGCAATTCTTTGTTTCTGTACTGTGAAGATTTAAAACAAACAAACAAACAAACAAAAAACCCAACCAACCAAAAAAAAAAACCCAAAACACTCCCACTAAAATAGTTACAAAAATGCTTTGAAATATGGTGAATAATGAATTTCCTAGAGGAAATCCTGTGAAGACCAATCACCAGAAATAATGTAATGCCAAGTAAATGATCTTATACTCTATTTTTTTTTATATTCTATTGCCTTTTGA